CCACACCCCCTGTTGCTAGTTTAACCACTAACACAAATATACTTAGAAGTTTGCACACAATCCCCCAGATATGTTATTACGTAATTTAAAATGAACTTGAACTGAATCTGAAACAGTTCACAATTCATCATACACATACAGTATATATACCTCTTTACCCGCTCTGTATGTTTATTTTTGTACCTTATCTTGAATGTCCATCACAACCAATTAGCAAAGTTTGACTTTGGTTACCGTGGTGCAGGATAATGAGTGACCTGTAATTACCTCTATGTATATGGCTAATGGTGCAAAGGGGCACATCTTGTTAGAGTCAGTGTTCGGGATAACATTTGAAGCCAGACAGTGCTACAAAATGGTTGCAGCTGTAGAGAGATAAGCAACCTTGCACTGTTCCTGTTCATTAGATGCAAATGATTCTTACAGTAATAGAGAAACAATGAACCAACTTTGGAAGAATGTCATAAATCTGGAAAGCTTTACTTTCAAATTAGGTCTACCTTTGAGTGAGGAATTTGATAGAACTGAGGAAATGTGATAGACATTATATTATTAAAGTATTGCATTATTATTTAACTTCATTTCCAGTTGTCTGAGTTAGAAGATTATTCTCATGTCCCTCAGTGGGAGAAGACCATGTCCATACTCTACACTGCATATCCATAATACTCTGAATGTGAGATCAAAGCAATGAAAACCCTTATTTAATATGTTTCTTTTCATGCACTCTGTGTTTATAAGCAGGTTTTCTTGTTTTTCATATTCTGTCGATGACACATTTTGGGTTATACGGTACATCTGGGGAATATATTATCTCCAAGGGAGCTATTGTACATATATATATAAACCAGATAATAATATTACTAAACAGACTTAGAGTTGTAGAAGTTTTAAGTTTTTTCAGAGGTACTTATAGACGTGTGTGTGTGTGTGAGTGTTTGTCTTTGTTGCCTGAGCCAAGTCAAAACCTTCAGTGATCAAATTGCACTTCAACTGAGCAGTTGTAAAACTGAGTGTTGACATTTCAGAGGAGGAGCAGTAATTTCGGGGGAGGGCAGATTTCATGTATGCATATAAAGACTACAGACCACAAGCTGTTCAAAAGGCTTTTCTCCCAGGGCATCTTGTGAAATACTGAATGTGAGCAGGTACGTTCCTCTGCATGCTT